AGCGGAACGTGACGTTAAAGGGTAATGCTAGATTCTGTTCATTCTTCCTAATAAGATCCTGTACGAAGTCAACCTCGTATAAATAAAGGAAAAAAATCGACAAGAAGAGCACAGTTAATTCTCATTCGAGTGCCGATTGTTTGTAGAAAACATGTCCTCCAAATGTTGTCAATCAAGAAATCAAGCATCTTGATAATGTAAGTTTCAGAGAATTTTTTGTTTGATTCAGAGTGATTTTTTTTTAAAGTACGATTTATCCCTCCCTATGGCTAGATACTTGCATCTACGTTGGCCATTCTTTTTTATGAAAGAAATTAAAGCAGGACCAATTCTTTCAATTTGTCTTTTAGTTTGGAATAGGGAATACTTGTGTAAAGGGTAGACAAGTCAAATGTTTTAATACTTTTGCAAGGGATACTTAGATTGTATGTACTCTAACAGATCTTTGGAATTTTTAAGTATCCACATTTGATTAACGCCGCCCCTAGAGTAGGTAGTTTCACAATAACATTTAAGCCCGGCTTAAATTGCTGGTAAAATTGATGTTAATAATATAGAAAGAAGTTTCGTGGAGCACTTGGAAGACCCCGAAATATAATGTTGTTTGTAATTACACCTATGAAATTTAGTTATCCAATGAAAATGAGGAACCAGGCGTTAGAAAATATGAAATAATTATAATTTGTTTTCATTCCCGTTGAACTGTCCTTATGTGTAAGTTTAAATGGACAACAAATTAGAAAATGAATTAATTGATTTACACAAAAACTCTCAAGGGATGAAGCAAATGGTTTGAATTTCGCTTTATTTTTATCAGTTTATTGCAAAATTGTATGACATTATGCAGTGACAATTTTTGAGAAACAAATAAACATGTATATATTCTATTTGTCGTAGCAATGATATAGTCCGCCTTTCCTCGAACCCCTAGTTTTGACTTTGGTATGTAACTATGGTCACTATACTTGACCCAACCGCAGGCAGTTAATCCAATATTTGCAAAACCTACCTATTGAAATAGTATTCATTTGTTTTCGTCCTAAATATGAATGAAATATTTGCCATTGGACTTTAAAAAACAACAATCAATCAATCACTTCCTCGTTATATGATTATAAGACCAAAAAACGCTACACAACGAAAATGTATCTAAAACCTTCACGTTTAGACCAACTTTTTTATGTTTATCACTGTAAAATGTACAAATGTGAAGATGATTAAACGAAACCAACTCCTGAACCGTAAGGGTTGAATTGGAAGTACAGATATGGTCCTGACTTCACGCTTCCGTCACTAAACCAATTTGAATGCAGAGGGATTGTCCGTTTTATGTACGGGATGAATAAATACAAGGCTACGTCTGGTGGTATGTGGAAACTATATCCGATGATTAGACACTGCAATGCTTATTGCACGTTGTAAAACACTGGGAGGGGCCATTACAAGGCAAATTATCTACTCCCATCTTTTAACATGGCAGTTTGCTATCCTTCATCCGGACCACCAACTTTGCAAAACCAACCTATTGGACACGTTGTCCATCTAATCTCGTACCGACTATGCATGAAATATTTATCACTGGGCATTAACCAAACAACAGTCGACCAACACTATATTAAGGTCTTTCCCCTACGTTGGGAAAGACCTTATTGTTTTGTAATGTTTTTTTCTTTTTATTCTTCCACATTTTTGACACGGCCTCCCCTCGATTCCATCCCCCCCTTTTCCCCCCATTTTAAAAAGACTAAGTCCATGTGATGTTACGGGAAAGCCCACAAATGGATCCGATGAAGAAGTTAAATAGGAGACGCACAATTCATTTTATCAATACTGTTAAATTATACAAGTTACGTTTCTAGGTACTTTCCGCCATTGTGTTATTGTGCTATGGTCATTTTTTTATTTTTGTCTTTCATTTTTGCTTTTGTGCTTTGCCTACAGAGTGTCTACATGGCATTTTGTTTTTCTTTGTGGACATAGTTGTTTGTTTTTATAGTGATTAAGATTATAACACAATGCTGACTGCTTTACCCCAATTTTTTACATTTTTACCTAGTATGTCTAGATATAGGAAGATGTGGTATGAGTGCCAATGAGACAACTCTCCATCCAAGTAACAATTTATAAAAGTAAACCATTATAGGTCAAGGTACGGCCTTCAACACGGAGCATTGGCTCACATCGAACAGCAAGCTATAAAGGGCCCCAAAAATTACTAGTGTAAAACCATTCAAACGGGAAAACCAACGGTCTAATCTATATAAAAACGAGAAACGAGAAACACATATGAACTACATAAACAGACGACAACTACTGTACATCAGATTCCTGACTTAGGACAGGTGCAGACATTTGCAGCAGGATTAAACGTTTTAATGGTACCAAACCTTCTCCCTTTTTCTGAAACAACAGTATAACATCACAACATAGAAAGACACACTATAAAATATCAATTGGAAGGCTTAACTCAATCAAAAAACGTAAATTAACACACAATGAACGAATAACTTTGATCTGTGATACCTGACTGCAAATACATAGTTAATCAAAATTATAAGGGATAAATGACATGAATAACTAAGGTCAAAAGTAAATAAACAGGTTGAAATAAAGTTAAAGTATAATACCACTGTGAAATGTTAAACAATATTTAGAAAATCATCACTTTTGAAAAAACCTGCGTCATATTATACACAGGTAAATGAAAATAATTTTGTTGTTAAGTATACTTCTTCTTCTGTGTGTATAAAATCTTCCGTTTAGGAATACCAAGAAATTTCTTTAATATCAATGAAACTAATCTAACACTTGGTACATATGGGGTGAATATCAACAATAAAACTATACAATTAGTGCTAGATAAAATTTCCTAAACAGGTGCAAGAACATTATTTAAGGAGAAATGAAATAATTTTGATGTTCATAGTACGAAGTAGTGAAAATTTGTAGTAATTCCAAATAATCAAAGCTGGTATATAGACAAGATCCATGTCAACATTAAATAACAAAAAAGCATTACAACTAGTATCAACAGGTCAAGTTAACAAGAAAGTACGATTTGAGAGTACTCGCAGTAACTGACAGCTAGTTAAAAGCCAAAACAATTAATAATAAAAAATCATGCATCAGAGACTGAAATCAACTAAAATACATCCCAGGGATTTAGTATTTTAACGTCATGAACAGTCAAAGAAGACATGACTTGTGCAATGCCAAAAATAAATGTATCGACAGGTAGTAGGATAGTTAGGAGTGACTTCTTTATAGATAAAAATGAACGTGTGTGTGTCTCTATACATCCCGTTTGAAAAGAAAATACAAATTTAGTTATGTTTTAATTTGCTAATGACAAAATCGATATTAGTGCCAATGTAAACTATATTTCCAAGCTTTAAGTACAATATTACCGTAAAATTTAGGATTTGAAATACCATTTTAATAAGTTTTCTACAGGTACAGCCAAATTTACGAATTAAATTTTTGTATCTATGAAAGAATTTAGTAAAAGTTTTAAGTAATTTATGGTAACGATATCCCTGACTTAATAATTTACCAATGATGCATTGATTACGTTCATTAAAATCTATGACATCACTACACACACGGGCATACCGAATGAGTTGGGATATATAAACACCGTATGATGGAGCCAAAGGCACATCGCCGTCTAAAAAAGGAAAATTAACAATAGGGAATGAAAAATCGTCTCTTTTGTCTTAAATTTTAGTATGGAGTTTCCCTTTAGAAATTGAAATGTCTAAATCTAGAAAAGGACAACTGCTGCTGTTTATGTTAGATTTAGTTAAAGTAAGTTCTTTTGGGTAAATTTCGGTAGTATATTTAGAGAACTCTGGATTATTTAACGAAAAAATATCATCCAGATAACGGTAGGTATTGTTGAATGTATCAACCAAATGTAAAAATGATGTGTCTTTACTGAGTTTGGTCAAAAACTGAGATTCATAGCAACACAGGAATAAATCTGCTATTAAAGGGGCGCAGTTAGTGCCCATAGGAATACCTACTACCTGACGATACACTTTATCGCCGAAACGTACATATATGTTATCTAGGAGAAAATTTAAAGCTTCAATCATATCCTCACATTTCCAGTAAGTGTATCTAGCATATTTTCCTTTTTCGTTACAGAAAAAGGCTTTAAACGAGTTACAGCAAATAAATTTACAATGAGATTTTTCAAAAGACCATTTTATTAAATATGAAAACTTTTTTCTTTATTAGATTATCTGTTTGTTTTGCTCACACATTGTTGTCAATATAATGGAATTTAAAGCGACTGTCATACAAGAGAGGCGAAAGATACCAAAGGGACATTCAAACTCATAAGTCATACAAGTGAGAAGTCTGACTAGCTATAAAACCAGTTTTAATCCACAATTTTGTACATAAGGAAATGCATGTACCAAGGCAGGAATATGACAGTTGTTTTCCATTCGTTTGCTGTGTTTGAGCGTTTGATTTTGACATTTGTTAAGGGACTTTCCGTTTTGAATTTTTCTTGATGTTTGGTATATTTGTTATTTTACTTTTCATTCAATTGTGAAATTAATGATATTTTGTATTGACAAACTTAGGTGTTGACAGGACAAAACATTTTGGATCCGAGTATTGTGCTAGGAGCAGGTTCTTGTTTAAAATCATTCATAGTAGTTGGGGAAACTCTTAAAAATTATCCCTATGATCCAGAAAATAATATCGTTTCACCTCTTAGCACATCCGAGTACAGATAAAATGTCGGCAGTCACGTACACATCGAGATAAACATATTCAATGACTTCCCAATGTCACAGCAACTCTTAGTTATTTGGTTTTTTTTTGTTTGTTTATTAAATCGTGAATGGAAAACGTATCCGATATTGGTTGTTCATATTGTTCATTGTTGGTGCTTATAAACATGATTAAGTCATATTAAGTTTCGAGTTGTATACTAAGTAGAATTGAATAGAAGTGTGTACCATGTGTACGTATTATAAACTTCTACGTAATATCCTTGTTACTTAAATGAATCGATATATATGCATAACGTCGTTGACCTACTTACACGATTTGCTGTTTTGATATGCTAATAATATCTTGTTATTAACAGTACGTGGATAATACAATATGTAAACAATTTCTTACAAGCAGGTAACAATAACTTTTATTGTTTTGAAATCAAATAATTGTAGATTTCTAATATTCTGTTACAGTAAATACCTTATTTTATAAAATGTTGGACTAAAAATAATGTGTTTTACTTTTGGGACAAGTTAAATGTGTTGAGACATATCCGTGTGCATATTTTATGTTTAGATAATAAGCCTATTTTTCATTTTTTAAATGTATTTGTTTATATTTCAGTCATATTATTCCTTTTATTCCTATTCCGTTGCCATTCTGTAAACGCTGGTGAAAACTAACTAGTTCATGAGGGTCTTGATGGGGTTTACAGAATAGAGACTAATGGGCAAAAAGTGCAGAATAACTAGGCCCAACAAATAAAAAAAAGAGAAAAATAGGCAAAATACAGAATAGAGAATAATGGGGTGCTTAAATATAAAGTATAGAGAACAATGGGTAAGAAATATAACTGAAGGATAGAGAAAAATGACATATAAAAAATTGATGAATACAGAAATGAAGGACCCACATCCAACCCCGTACAGGTGTCTGCTCCGACGTCAGGGTATTCTGATTACCGTCTCTACTTTCTGTTTGTTTTCCCCAAACAATTACAATTGAAGTCTTTTTGAAATTTGGTTGAAGCTTAATTAATTCATCTAATTTAGTCAAGCATGATCGTGTGATTCCTCTTTGACGATGACATGATCGTGTGATTCCTTCTTAACGATATGGCATGATCGTGTGATTCCTCTTTGACGATGACATGATCGTGTGATTCCTCTTTGACGATGACATGATCGTGTGATTCCTCTTTGACGATGGCATGATCGTGTGATTCCTCTTTGACGATGACATGATCGTGTGATTCCTTCTGAACGATATGGCATGATCGTGTAATTCCTCTTTGACGATGGCATGATCGTGTGATTCCTCTTTGACGATGACATGATCGTGTGATTCCTTCTTAACGATATGGCATGATCGTGTAATTCCTCTTTTACGATGGCATGATCGTGTAATTCCTCTTTTACGATGGCATGATCGTGTGATTCCTTCTTAACGATATGGCATGATCGTGTAATTCCTCTTTTACGATGGCATGATCGTGTAATTCCTCTTTTACGATGGCATGATCGTGTGATTCCTTCTTAACGATATGGCATGATCGTGTAATTCCTCTTTTACGATGGCATGATCGTGTGATTCCTCTTTTACGATGGCATGATCGTGTGATTCCTTCTGAACGATATGGCATGATCGTGTGATTCCTCTTTTACGATGGCATGATCGTGTGATTCCTTCTGAACGATATGGCATGATCGTGTGATTCCTCTTTTACGATGGCATGATCGTGTGATTCCTTCTGAACGATATGGCATGATCGTGTAATTCCTCTTTTACGATGGCATGATCGTGTAATTCCTCTTTTACGATGGCATGATCGTGTGATTCCTTCTGAACGATATGGCATGATCGTGTGATTCCTCTTTTACGATGGCATGATCGTGTGATTCCTTCTGAACGATATGGCATGATCGTGTAATTCCTCTTTTACGATGGCATGATCGTGTGATTCCTTCTGAACGATATGGCATGATCGTGTAATTCCTCTTTTACGATGGCATGATCGTGTGATTCCTTCTGAACGATATGGCATGATCGTGTAATTCCTCTTTTACGATGGCATGATCGTGTAATTCCTCTTTTACGATGGCATGATCGTGTGATTCCTTCTGAACGATATGGCATGATCGTGTGATTCCTCTTTGACGATTGGATGATCGTGTGATTCCTCTTTGACGATGGCATGATCGTGTGATTCCTCTTTGACGACTAATGTATTTTTACTGCATGTTACATGTATAAATGAACAGGTACACATTAATCTACGAGTGAGAGTCACTGCTTCTTGTTATTTAGTACCAACCTATTTTGTCTACAAATTAGTATGCATTTTCGGATCAGTCTGAAGACATTATTGCTAATTTTTAAACAACATAATTATTGTGCGCAGTACTTCGCATCACTCGGAAACGAAATGTATTAGTTTGTATCTGAAAGGTATAAGTACATAACTTAACTTTCTATGTGTGTTTTGCTTGCTACATCATTCTTGTTCACTTTTATATAAATATTCAAACATTGTATAATTCTATATAACAATTGCAATGTTGAATCATCTTTTAGCAGTTGGTTTTATGTTCAGCAATGCGACATCATGTTGTTTGAATCTGAAAGTAACCTCTCACACTCAAACTATGGATTTAGTTTAAGATTGAAAATACTTTGTTTTCCTCGGTCAAAGTTGGTCCCTTTTGCCTATACAGGTCGCAATTTATTTATCCACCTTTGAGCGTTGCAATTTTTTTACACAAACATGATTGATTGTTCGTTTGGATATTTGTGTGGCATATAATACGCAAATATTCCTTGACGCCTTTCCTTGTTCAGGACATGTGACCGTATACAACATTTCTCCGGATTTCTATATTTTACCCATGTACTTTTATATAAAAAAATAAGATGTTATGATTACAAATTAGAACACTATCTAGCATATAATAAAGAATAACGATGTGAATAACTACGGGCCTTCAGTATTGAGCAACCCCATACCGTACGATCAGCTGCAAAAGGCCCCTGAATATCAAGACATTACTTTAAGCGAAAGTCAACTATGGCAGACGAAAACCCACTGAACTACAGGTTCTTGACTTGAGACAGACACATAAAGAATGTGGAAGGTAAAACATGTTTGCGAATCACGAAAGGTATTGGACAAATCTTCACTTCGACCAGATATTTGAATTGTGCAGCATTTTTAAAGGTTTGGTATATCTATTTGGAAAGTCTTTCGATGGAATCATTCAGATTTAGGAGCTATTTTCATAACCTACGTTACAACTTTTTCAATGTTCAACCCACCATTTTTTCTTTAAAATGTCCTGTACCAAATCAGGAATATGGCAGTTCGTTTCTATGTGTGTTGGCGTTTGTTTTTGTTGCACTTCGGTGTTCCTGTTGTTCCTTTGTTTTCCTCTTATAGTTGATGTGTTTCCCTCGGTTTTGGTTTGTAACCCGGATTTGTTTTCTCTCAATCGACTTATGACTTTTGAACACCGGTATACTAGTACTACTGATGCCTTTATTTATAATACATGCTCGTTCTGATCATATACCATGAATATCCTGTGTATGCATCTTGTCTCGCTCAATGGTTCGATTCCCACCATTTTCAACTCCGAGTTAGTGTATCGACACCTTTATTTTTAAAAGAGATGGAAGGGATTTCCATGTTCAATTACTACACTTGAAGGTTCAAAATGCATATTTCACTTTTATATCCGTTAAATAGTATTTTACACTAATGTGTCTAACTTTCCAAACAATAAATTATTGATAACCTCGAAATAGAGAAAGGTTTCAAACTAATATAAATGAAAATGAAATATCGTATGATAAGAATACATTAATTATAAGATATGAGAGTTAATAAACTATATATTATCATTTAGACAATCTGACTGATTTATTCAAAGGGGGACGCACTGAATTATTAACTAGAATGGTTCAAGGTCTTTAAAATAAATAAAGCACCAAGGGAGGCCATTGCTTGAATTTTAAAATGTTTCAGAAGAAGAGACACGGAGAAACGCTTTTGCTGTACATGCGTTTCGACAACCATTCTGCTAAATGCTAATCGCTTCTTCTCATTTTTATACGACCGCAAAAAATTTTGCGATCGTATATTGGGATCACGTCGTCGTCGTGGTCGTCGTCGTCAGCGTCGTCCGAAGATATTTGGTTTCCGGACAATAACTTTAGTAAATCTGTAAATGTAAATAGAAATCTATGAAATTTAAACACAAGGTTTATAACCACAAAATGAAGGTTGGGATTGATTTTGTGTGTTATAGTCCTAACAGTTTAAGAATTAGGGGCCAAAAAGGGGCCCAAATAAGCATTTTTCTAGTTTCCAGACAATAACTTGTGGAACGGTGTATGGATCTCTCTGAAATTATACCACAAGTTTCCATACCACAAAAGGATGGTTAGGATTGGCTTTGGGGGGTTATGGCTCAAACCGTTTAGGAATTAGGGGCAAAAAAGGGGGAAAACAAGGGTTTCCTGGTTAATGGACAATTAAAAAAGTACAATGTTATGTTTGGATTACCTCCCTTACACTGCTTTTAAATTATGTATAAAGAAATGTTGGATTGTTTGAGGTGATTAGCTGTCAATTTATTTTTAGAAGTTACTATTTAAAAATGCTGATTAAGGAATATTAATTTTAGCCATGATTATGTATGTCATTTCTATTTTAAGACTTTTATAATGTATTTAAATGGGTAATTATGGTTGCAAACTCCATTAGAAATTTGAATTGAGATTATGACCCATATCTTGAGGGAAAGAATTTTTTTGGGGGAAAAAGGGAGGGGGAGAAGTGAAAAAAAAGGGGGGGTAAAAAAAGAAATTGTGAGGGGGGACCATTTTTTTTCTCATTTCAGATTTCAGAAAATAAAAAGAAAATTTCTTCAAATATTTTTTTTTTGCCAAAAAATGGGGGGGGGGGGGGGGGGGGTAATTTTTTTTTGTAGGGGGGGGGGGGTAAATTCGCAACAGAATAGTGTATTGCACAAAAGCAAAAAATTCATAATTAAATTCAAATCAAATAACCAATTCTAAGTTCTTTGACTACAGTTATTCTGTGTCAGAAACCTATTATGGGTCAAATATTTAATTACAATCCAAATTCACACCTGTATCAAGAGCGAATATTGTGTCCATTTTTGACCCAACTGTTCAAGGTTGGACCTCTGCGGTCGTATCCAGCTGCGCTCGCGAAGCAATTTATTAACTATAACTTTAACTGCATGGTTCATGAAGCAAACTGACCAAATTTATATCAAAACACGCTGTTGTTATTTTTAACGAATGTTCTTCTTTTTTCAGCCTTAAGATGGAAAGAAAGTCGGATGAAGCTTTGAATTGCTGTAAAATTCCTATATTCAATGGACAATGTACATCTTGGGAAGACGGACCAAATTATCTGCCATTTTCAAAAAAATATCTTAGATCTTTGGATCTGTTTTCCTCAAATGGAAAGACAGCAGATATAACTCCCAAAGAAAACGAAGGTAGGCACATTATATATATATATATATACTACTTATCTGATATAAAACTAAAGATATGTTGTCTGGTTGCTTATGAAGCATTTTTTCCGACAAAAACCAAATGAAATAAAGTGAATCAATTTAAATGTTTGGTTGACCGCGCGGCCTTCAACAATAGACACAGGCATCTGTTATTTTCGGCATAAACCCTTCTGATACTCTGCTATCATATTTTGTTTTGAAAAAAGTCTTTGCTATAACAAGGAAATTTTCATGGAAAATACAATTTGTTGAAAGTAAGGTCGTGTGCACACGTATAGTAATTTCGTCTTCAAAGTTCTCCTCTATTGTAGATACTACCAATTTAACCTTCAGGTCAAGGACAAATTCGTTTCCGCAGACTGCCAAAACAAGAAATAATAAACAACATGCAATTTCTGAAGAAATTGATAGGCTAGGATTAACTGCTGAATCGGTATATGGTGATAAAAAATCTGAAATTGACGAAAATGAAAGTAATTTGAACGAAAATAACGACAGTCGTTTTTCGACAGGATATACAGGAAGTAAATTGTTAAAAGATGTCCAAAATGTAACAAAGTATTCAAGTTCGAGGGAAGACAATTCTTCCAAAGAGAAAAATGCAGGGGAAATTAGAAGCGTCAATATAGAAAAAAAGCTTAGCGAATATGGACATTTCGATATATTAGATATTAATAACATTGCCGCTATTCCACGCAAATCATCTACTAGCACAGCTTTGCAGAAAGCGAAAGGTTGTAATAGATATCAAGATACCTTGGGATTATTCTGGATGAATGAAGATACTTTACCATTAAGCTCACCAATGATGGATAGAAAGGTTAATGCATGTAGTGCAGACTCAGGATGGTCAAGTGACCCAGGTGATCCACAGAAAATAAGACATAACAAAAGGCTATCAAAGAAAAGTGCGCAAAATCAGATCGCAGGTGAACGTTCAAACGTTGAAGATACCAAATCTATTCAAGTTCAACCTGAAAATGAACAGAGTACAATTGACATTAAAAAAGGACACATAACGAAAATAAAACATTCTTCAAACACAATTGAGACTAACAATTCCTCTAAAGACCAGAACTTATCAAATATTAAAACTTTTAAAAATAAAACAAATATAGGATCGAAACACGTGACAGCCGAACATCACGATAGTGGGGAGGAGGATATTCATGAACACACTTCTTTCCAGAAACAAACTTTACAATGGGTCTCGACTAGCAAGGTTCGACAAAGTAGACGTGAACACAACATGCTTTCTCCTCCAACCTTTTGATGTATTAACCATAATGTTCCGTGTATGTTTATCCTCTGATATGAATTTTCAATGTTAAGAGTGATTTATTCTTACTTCCATAACTTGGAGAAGTAAAGAAGTTGTGTTTGGTACAGTTTCGTGGGGAGAACACTTTCAATATGTCATGGCTTTACTGTATTTGCTGTTATGTATTGGTAATCATGAATAGCAATTTTAACTTTTTTATGTACCAATATGAAATTTTTGTATCATCCTGATTGTCCTAATAAGTTAAAGAATTGCAATTTTTCCCATAGAGTGTTGTGAATGTTCCACATTATTGTTGAGTTTTTATTAATTATTAAATATCACATAATCAGGTTATTTGATCATACACAAACCCAAATTAACCTTCAACAAGCGCAACATTTATCATTCTGGAGTTCTATTCCACGATTATTTGAAGTCCGCCAAAACTGCTGGTGGTAAATTAAAGTTCCTATAGCAAATAACTTTCTTATTTTGAAATATTTCTGTAATTTCAAAGCATTGAGTCAAGCAGTTCGTCTAATCACAAATAAAATGAAATAATTATATAAGTACCAATAAAATAAATTGTCATGTATGTAGATCATTTGACACTCGGGAGCTTCCCATAAGTAAGTCAACGTTTTACTTGTATAAAAATGTTAATTAGAGGCGGACAAGTTATATACATAATATATGTTTTCATGATATTGTTTTTGTTTATTGTTTATCATTGAAGGTCTTTGATCTGGTACTATCTGTACCCTTCAATATAAAAAAATAGATAAGCATTGTTAATCAGTCCATGAGTTGATGTAGCCGGGTAATCTATAATACTAAGAGAACGAATTTTCAGGATTTTAATGAAAACTTAGCTCTAACTGAACAATTATATACAGTTTAGATTGTGCATTTTGTGTTCGCATAAGCATACATACTCTTCAAGGCAAAAGCTTTCATCGAGTTTATTTGCAAATGCTTTTTGTAGGCACTTTTGCAAATTAAATTCTCCCATCTAGAAATTTCTAGTATTCACAAATATTCGCACTCGAATGAAACATAATTAATATAGATTGTGCTATCTTAATATTTTCATTGGTTTCATAAAGTCATTTACAATGTTTGTGTGAGTATGTTCGTTATAAAACAGATCCTCAAACAGTATATGCAAGACATATCCTGGACTAAGAATCCAATTAAGATCGCTAATTAAGCGTTGATTGAGAATTGAGTAGATTAATTGGTCTATTACGCTACGACAGAGGCTAATGATGTCTATTTCGTATCCCAGTAGTATCGTTGCCGCATGAAACTAGCATGAAATGAGTATAGGAACTATTCAAGCGACCATACGTTATTTGAACAATAAACTATCTTCAGTCTATTGAGGGAGACATCCTTATCACGTCTCTTTTCCAAATGATTCGGATGAAGTAATGAAGCTTAGTGTATTTTATTAGGCATAATATGTTATAATCAAACAATTTATACGAATACTCTAAAGCATTTCTTTATTAAAATTAACCGGGATTTACTGAAATGGGGAATAAAAGTATTTTATTTTTCTACGTCGGATTATTTTACGCCTTGTATTATGGCAAAAGATATATGCTGTTATGGATCTCGGCCCACACCTCCACACCTATCTCATAGGACAAGCCTGGATGAGCTATCCCTTGGGTTGTCGTCGTCCGTCAGTTAACTGCAGATTTAAAATTCCGAATCACCTCTAAAACTACTCTTAGATTGGCAGGAACATTGCAAAAATAGGTACAATAAAATTTCCTCATTTTGTTCTAATCGGAAGAAAAACATGGCCACAAAATGCAATCATTATTGATTCTGTTTGGTCTATTTTGAAAGTTCTCCCCTGATAAACAGAACTAAATCTATTGAATCTTTAGTCGAATGATGTTTGGGAGACCTTTTACAAAGATGTCATAATTATTCCGATATGACGTATGATATGGCAATTACCTTTCGGCCGGCAGAAGTTCTCCACATACAACAACAAGGCATTGTATGTAGGTACTTTGACCCTTCAGAAAGAATCATCCTTTCGAGATGCCCATGATTGTGTGCAACTGACCCAATGGGAAGTAAAATTCTCATCTTTCCTAATATAAATAATAGATGATATGTACCAAACTTGCCAAAAAATCTAATTTAAAATTTCTTATATTTCGGAATGTTTGGCCCTTAAAAGAGGGGCGAAAGATACCAGAGAGACATTCAAACTCATAAATCGAAAATAATCTGACAAAGCCATGGCTAAAAAAAAAAAGACAAATTCGTGCTTTATTTGGCCTTTTATCTTTTGTGATTCGAGCGTCACTAGTCTAACGAGTCTTATGTAAACGAAACGCGCGTCTGAGTGCAAAATTATAAGCCTTGTATCTGTTTGATTTTGTATCAATTTTTGAACAAATATATTCTTCAAAGTTGTTAAATTGATAAAAACTTGGCCACCATGCAGAGGCAGTTCTTGATTTTGATATGTCAATTCTTTAACGTCTTCTTCTCTGAAACTTTAAAAAATGTGTATGAATGACGATTGGGACGATTTATTCCCGATTGTCCCACTTTTTAAAATTTTAGAGTTTTGATTGCCTGATTTTATTACGTTAAATGTTCTTAAATAGAAACTATAATTATAGTTTTTCTTTTACAGTATCAAATTTAAGTAGATTAATATATGAGCATATACTTTAGTAGTTGATATCAATTTTATAAATGTAAACACGAATTGTTGAATAAATCATCAATTAAAATGCACTTTTGATTAAACAATATAACATATTTGTTATAAAAAATATTTCATGATGTTTATTTATAAATCAAATATCAATATATGTTTAAAATTTAAAGCGATTTAAATTTTAAACACATGCACGCACTTTTTTCTTCTTTTCGTTTTTATAAGCGCTCAGACTGGAAGGTTTGGATGTAGATATAAAAAGATGTGGTATGATTGCCAATGAGACAACTCTCCATCTAAGTCACAACTTGTAAGGAGACTATTAAAAAAACATTTACAATAACAATATTACAAAAGCATTAGCTATTTTGTAACCTAATCATTAGAATTTACATCATCAATTTAAAAATAGAGGGCAAGATCTCAACCTACAATATCTTTTTGGGAGAAGAGGTAAATGTGACTCAGTAATGACATTAGTGTCCTCTGAACATATACAATTTCATTAAAAAGATGAACTTATTTCGGTGTAATGTCCAGTGGCAAGTTATATGCATAAGCAGGACGAGATGATGTTGATGTTAGATGAATATGAAACCTTCTTTGAATAGAAGTATATCGACATATCAAGCCTGATCTTTAATGTGCTAGTAGTCAAGGTAACAGTCCGCAGGAAGACATGTCACCCTACACAGACAAATTTTCTGACTCATGGCCGACCAGTCTTTGCTCTTACTTCAAAATGCAGCATGCTTTGCGGAGAAGAAGCAAATTCCAACTTTCCATTCTTTGGTTTGACCCGGTCAGGGTTAATTCCTTTTTACTGTGTTTAAATGTTAGACCAGATGTCGATAAAATTGACATAGCTGCACATTATTTCGAATTTATGTTTATGATCTTCTAATTCAAGGATTTTCTTATAAATGTTCTTAAAAAAAAACTCTCCCTATTTTTGTTCGCTTGATTTGAGCGTTTACTGGAATATGTATTATCGCTATTTTACGAATTGTTCCTTTGAGCTTGCTGACTGATAATTTCCGTTCTCAGCGGAGTCGAGTGATATGAAAACGGAGTCGAGTGATATGAAAATTATCGCTAGAAACTAAGGGAACACGTGCCGTTGTCAAGGAAATTAACAACGTCTTCATTGGTAAAATAGCGATAAACAGATTATCATTGGTCATCTTAACTCGATTGCTTTTCTCGCTTTCGCCGTGCCGGCTCAAGCGAGAAAATCAATCTCGTTGAGATAACCAAAGATAATCTATAATTATTTTTTATTGTTTTATGAATAAATTTGTTATCAGCCTAAAATCTATCAATTTGAGAACAAATCCCTGAAATTTTGTAACATGTAAAATTATTCGTTTATCTTTGTATTTCTCTTAAAAAATCTTTTTTTTTTATTTTATCCTTGATACTTTTTTTAATTACAATTTTTTTTCAATTATATATATGATTAATTTACAATTTATGTTATTGGAATCTATTTAATCTTTTATGTAGTCAAAATATATTTTTAATACGCCCGTCTTTTAAGACGGGACGCATTATGCTATATCGTTGTCCGTCCGTCCGTCGTCAACACTTCTGACTATAACTCAAAAATTCTTTAAGCAATGTTCATGAAACTTGGTGAATTGTTTATTCATATTGACATAAGATCCCTTTCGATTTCTAAAAAATTCTGATTTTAGGTTTTGGAGTTTTGGGACTTAATTCATAAAAAAGGGGGAAACGCTTTGAGCAGTTTTCATGAAACTTTGGTGACTTGTTTATGTCTATTGAAAATAAGCTCCCTTTTATTATTATTTTTTTATAAATTTCTGAAATGATATGGCGGATTTATTACTACTATTTTATTTTATTTTATTTTTTGTTGTTGTTTTTTGTTGTTTTTTTTTTTTTTTTTGGGGGGGGGGGGGTCTATTTGAGCATTGCTCACAGTATTTTTAGTTAATCATACAGATTCATTTAAAGCATAAATACGAGCTTAAATGGCGACGGGCGTATCATACGCTCATAGCGCAGCTCTTTATTGTATTAAATTGATCTTTATTTTGACACCAGTTTAACAAAATATCACAAAACAAAATAAAAATCGCTATCAAAACAATTCCCTTTTGTCCCATATTTAAATTTCCCTATTGTCCCCAAAACATCTTCTAGATTGTCCTACAAAATTTCATTACTTTCTTACCTGTAATTTTAAAATGTGGGACAATCGGGAAGACATCATTGGGACACCCTAAACTTGTAATGTCAATAAATACTACAACTCCATTGACTTGAACAGTATCCAAATTTCTATCATAATACATATAGGTTTCCAATGCAACATTGCTGTAACTTTATTTCATAGACATAAGACTTTAACAGTTTCTCAAAATATAATGAAGTCTGATTAAAAAGAGAAACCAAGATTTCGTTAAATGGAATTGGATATCCTGCATTTATCATGATTTTCAATAACATATGATCAAATAGCTGAAAGACCCCCTCCTAAATTATTGAAAGCTATCATTCTGCATTGACAATAATATCTTTGTGTAATTCGGGCTAACGCCTTCATGCGGTATCTAATACTTGCTAAACGTAAATAGTCTATAGGTTAGTAAACATTTGTATGACAATAATGTGATAAGGTCACCACTGGACAATGTCGATGGCCTTCAGGCTTTTTCCGTCGTCCAAAATAAACTAACCTTGAACTGCTATATAACAAGTTAAAGTGTTTATCCAAGGAATATTACCAAACTTACTTCTCAACGGCTGGTATCAATGTAAGTACATTTAGTATATTTTTGCATACAAATGCATGGGTACTAACTCAAATGTAATTTTACTATTGAGTTGGTGGTATTAATGATAATATAGCCCTTTTGTGATTAAGTGTCGCATGCGAAGTAGAGTCAATCAGTGATGAATAACCCCTTCCTTCCGCGAAGTCATCACATTCAACTCAAAATCGATTTGTAATATTCAAATGTGGCATTAAAATGGTATTACAAATCATTTAAACCAGATATCTAAAGTATTTGTTATTCACTGTACGTTTTTTGCAGAGAGTATTTTCTACATTTTCAATGTTCAGCGCCACATATCTTATTCAATTGTTAGGATAGACAAATCTACTACAAATCTAAATGAAAGGTTCTGTAAAGTGGTTCGAACGGATCAACGGCGGCAAAATGTTTACTGCCACTGAAAAGGAGCAAACATTTTGCCTTGCAACAAATCATCTCTAGAAGTTGTTGCAAGAGCTCTTTATCTTCGATAAAATTGAGAATGGAAATGGGGAATGTGTCAAAGAGACAACAACCCGACCAAAAAGCAGAAAACAGCCCAATGTCCATTTTGACTAGACGTGGCTGCGTATCAATACATCCCTCGCAGCCAAATTGCCGGGTTAGTTTACTGCTGGATATATGATTAACTGGTCATCATGTCTTTATTACAGCCAACTCTTGGGGTTCCGTCATCTGTGACAATAAATCAGTTATTTTTTTGATGGTGGTTTATATGTCATATTTGTCGATTAAAACAATACCTTTCAGAAGATAAGCATCTGATCATTAGTTGTAATTTTGGAATTTTATTGTTTTAAAAAAAAAAATTTTTGTGTATCATCGCATTTCTCCATAGACTATCACGTGATATTTGTGTAAACATGTTTTATAGAAAGAATTATTTATACAGGGAATACTAAATTAAGTTTTAATGTGTATATGCATTCGTCTATACAAGTGTCATCAAATTTTATTTAACAATGTATTTCATTTTTTTTTCAAACAGTTATGGATCTTAAAAAAAGCTTAACTCGCCAACAATTTCAGATAGATATTCTCTGAAAATTGGTTTATAGCAAAAGCTTTATGCCCATACTTTTCAAAATTTATTTATCAATATGCACCAAAGATTAATATCAGTGAGACAAGCTTCTAATGCAGTTATCTCGATAATTGATGAAACCAAGGTCATAAATATGCAGGTGCATATATATTTCAAATAACATAATTTTACAGTTTTTTTTAAATGTAAGATTGTGGTTTCTAAATAACCTTTAATTAGTATGCTTGTATATACCGATATAAATAAAAGCTTAAACGTAAGAAGAATTACTATTTGTTGTTCCCACTTTCACATTGCAACTTTACATGTTGGAAGTTTATTCAGCAAAATATTCCAAAAACAATTCCAAACATCGACCAGAATTGTTTATAAAATTATTCGATGTTTGGAATCATTTTTGGAAGATTTTTTTAAATAAACAATCAACATGTAAAGTTGCAAATGTGAAAATGGGAACAATAAAAAAGTGATTCCACACATTGTTGTAGAACAAAAAAAAACATGCGCAATTGAAGATTTTGAATGTATTGAATTTGGAATACTAAACAAAACACACAGGACATTTCATAAATTCCTCTCTAACCAATTTCTGGTGTACATGTTGTGTAGAAATGACAACATTTATCCATTTGTTTTTACAGAATATAATTTGATCGTAAAAACATGTCATGTTTAGTAAACAAATCTAAAGGCCATACAAGGCTAAATGCGATCGTGCTACAAATGTAACAATATTTACAATATAAGTACTATATTTGTGTCGTATCGAAACTTTATGGGATATTCATCTTTTGAGGAAACTTCGCAGACACCGGTTGTTATAAATAGAACATGAACATGATTGTTATTCATAAATTTGGTAAGTAAAATGAATTTTAGTGATCAGAAAGAGAAAATAGATTTACTACGTTTTTAAAGGACCTGTATGTATGAATATGTACACAATTTCAAGTTAGTTTTGAGGATCTGCCTGAAAACAAGAATCATTTTTACATCGCGATGACCGTGAGGGCATTCCGATGTATTGTTGCCGACGAGATTTCTACTTACGTAACTTTCGTGTTTGACTGGTAACCGATCTATAAATACGCGGACATTATCGAGTGCAAAATAACATTCCTTATCGCTTGTTATAAATTCATTTCTTAAATGAATACTCATAAAATATTTTTGTTTAGAACATAAATTAATAATATGAAAATGTTTTGTCGTTAGAAATATATATATAAGTAAAAAATCATTGATATTACTCTATGCACACGTACAGAAAAATTGTGTTAACGCATGCGGAAGAATATCTCAAGAACGTTTTGCGGGAAAATATAAATGCCTGCTCAAATCCAATCTATTAGAAAAAAACATATTATTACAGAAGAGTGTCCACAATGCACTTGCACTGCACTATTATTAGAATAGTAAAATAGAATGATATACAAATGAATGAAAATTATATTTTATACATGTAACTGTTATATGCAAACATTAATATAATATATAACAACAAACCAGAGTATACTGATTTGTATCACTACAATATAATAGTTATTACGGTGACGTTGAATTTCCTGTCATTTATTCATTATCCACGCACGAACTTGTCTCAGAAAAAAATTATATCTCTGTACATTAACCTCACTTTCAGGTATACAGATGTGATTTTTTTTCTGAGACAAGTGCTTGTGACCATCCACAAGAACTTGCGGTCATCCGATGTTCAGTACTTTGATTAAAATTGACATGTTCGGTTCCGTTTTGACAATAATGCCTTATATAACTAGTGTATGATTGGTAACTTATTTAATGGTGGTTTAAGTTTAAACCTAGTCGTGTATCACTACTTGTTATATGTATTACCTTGTACATGTAACACATTGTCTTTTTGATATGGAAGAAAAATTCGTAAGTTAGAGATACATTACCATGAAATCGATTATTCAGTTGTTGTTTGCTTGGCGTCCTGTGGCAAACAGTTCATGCATATTCAGGACGAAAACAAGTTATCATAAAAACATGACTGTTGTAGGGTCTGAAGTATACGTGAACTTGAGGACAGGGCGGAGGATTTTACTGTGACTGGAAAACAATGCTTGTATGTATATGTATATATATATATATATATATATATATATATATATATATATCGTGTAAGAGACTTAGCCACACAACATGTCAATGTCCTCTAGGAAGTTGCTATGGTTCTCAACTTGTAAACACCACTACAGCACTTTTCAATACTGACACGTGTCTTGGATTATGAAATTGATCATTTAGGTTATTTCTACCTCAATGGATGGACAGCAATTCTTTCTAGATATATTGTCCGTCCGCATGCAGTCAGTGGTTTATTTAGTCATTTAGTCATGTTGAGTAGGGTCTGCTTATCCTTCTGGAGCAACTGGGATCAGTCTTTCGGTTTTGTAGGCTGGTGTTTGTTGTTTTCTTGTTTTTCGTGTTCTGCCATGGATTTGTCGGTTTCTGGTTGTCCCTTTGTTATATTCTGCCTCTTTATTATTAGTATATAGTAGAAGCTAATGTAGTATCATTACTACTACTGTGTGACTGTCCAACTTATTTGACCAACTCAGAAGCCAGTCTTCAGTACAAGATTAAGAATTTACAGGAACAAGTTCAACCTTCTTCATTTTGTGTATTCGTATGAAAATTTATATTTGCAGACACATTTTGAACCAGTTTGTTAACGATGTTTTCAAATAAGAGAAATGCAATTCCAGGAACCATCACACGTTCTAGTGGAAACAGTTTCTTTGATGACGAAGATGATGATGGTGTCGTAATATCAGAACTTCAAAATTCCTCTCGACCATTCAACTTGTATTCAGCTCTTGAAAGCTTCGGGGATACAATTACTGAAGAAAATGAAGGTATATAGCTAATTGTGATATTGCTGGTAGATTGTTGATTTTGGATTTACTTACTTATGTTGGGACTGGGTTAACTATCTGGATCTTTTCTTGAGTAACTGATTTTTGTCATTTTATTTTTTTTAACATTTGTCAGACTATGAAAATAAAATAAATTACGAACATAAGCATACAATTTACTTGAACTGCAGAAGAACGATTGTATCGTCAAAAGCATCTCTGGAGTTGCAATCTATTATATAACGACACTCAAAGAAATTGAATAGAAAAAAGTGTCCATACGGGATCAACTATTTTATTCTTAGTTTTACAACATTACGGTTCGAATGCAAAAACATTTATGTATTGATACATTTTAGATACTTAGTACTTACTCTTAAAAAAGTCTAATACGTACGTCCACTTACAAGTATATCTTATTTCAGATTCTTTTGATGATCCGTGCAGTCCGCAAATACACACTCCAATCAACAACGACAAAGACAAAAGTACTTTAGAAAATTCAATTACAAAGAAAATTGAAAACCTCAGATTAACTGCTAAATCTGATAATGCTAATGTGAAATCAGTCAAACGATTTTCTTACAAAGAAAATTCAGAAATAAGAAAAGGCCGAAAGAATAATCATACGAGGATGCATAACTCAGATAAAAGTATAATACATCAAGATTTGTCCTGTGTTAAACGAAGGTCTAGTTTAAAGGATGTAACACAAATGTTTCCTTGTGGATGCGATGAACATTCGACAAACACGGAAACAAAGAGTAATATGGATTTTAAAGAATTTAACAGATGCGTGCAATTTGATAATTCGGTGCTAAAAGACTCGCAATATATGAAAAGAAGGTCTAGTTTCAGCGAGATATCACAAATGATTGCCTCTAATAAGAATGACAATATAAAAGACATTAGAGTGAAAAGCAGTCATGTAGATAAATCCTGGATTGATCGTGACGGTCGATTTTCTGAATTGAATAAACAATCGATGGGTAAAGATGTAAAACAAACGAAAAGACGGTCAAGTTTAGATGATTTAAATAAAGTTTCATCTACATTTCCATCCGAAAAATACACAAGTGATAACAAAAAATTAGAAATAAAAGACAATGTGATTTTCCAATTTTATCAATCGGATGGTATCGATTCAAACGATATAATATCGATACCACAAAAATCAGCGACTAAAGCAGCATTACGAAGTACAAAAAGTGCTATAAACATGCGCGAGTTCTTGATTAGCTCAAAAATACATATTGTTTCATCAGAAAAAAGGATGCTAAATTGTTCGGAAGGCCAAACAATAATAGACAAAGTTGCAATGACCGCTGCCGCACACGATTCAGGAGGGGCGATAAAAGATGACAACGCTTTGCAAAGAAAAAAGAATGAGAATAAAGTCGACAAATCAGTTCATTTAATTTCAGACAGTTCTGTTATTAAGAATGCCGAATTTAAAACTGGAACGGGTAATAGTGATATTCAAAACAATGATCTGAATTCATTTGAAAATAATTCCGTCCAAACTAAACCATGGGAGTGGTTAGCTAAAAGCAAAATTCGACAAAGTAAAAGAGAACATCATATGATTTCTCCTGCCTGTTTTTGAATTTTTCAATGTTGAATTAAATTAAAATGACTCTGTTACAACTTATTCTTATATTTTATGTAACATGATTAATAGACTAAAGTCTCTTTATAATCCGGATATATATAGGTCTATAGATATGTAAACTATACAGAAATCCAACGACAAATATACCAAAGAAATTTATATAGTACATGTATCCTTTTATATTCTTTATTCAAAACAAATCTAAGACTGCTACAGTGGAGACAGCAAATCTTTAGGACTATTTTCTTTTATCCTTACTTTTACATATTAAATTCGATAACATTCTGTACTGTTAGATCTATTCAATGATAATAATAATACTAAGTTCAAGGTTTAACGTGTTATAGATAGAATAATACTTTCAGTTCGATAAGACTACGACAAGGACTTTTATTGTCGAATTGGGACCCTGTTGTTGTATATGTATTAGATGTAATCTTTTATTTCTGATGCATTATCCCCTCAGATAGCCCCTCAGATATGAGACGATTACATCTGATTTACATTTCTCTGTCATCAAATTGATACCGTATCACTGTATTTGTATGGCAATAAGAATCGTTGGATTAACTTGTCTTTTTCTGGTTTAATTGCCAAAATCTGAATTTTTTGCTGATAAATGATAACACTTCTATGTATATCATAATAAAACCGATCTCTGTATCTACTAATAAAATAACAAGGTTCAATTTGTTAGCCGGCATGACGTAAAAACGACGAATCAAAGAATTCAACTTTATATATAATTAATATAGGAAAATGTTATTGTTTAAAAAATTCACCATTCCAGGCCCTTTTGTTTCCCACATAATTAATATTAGCAATAATTAACAAGTTTCGGGTCGAATCTAATACAGATACCAATAGTATATGTCACATGTAGTTTCAAATTGTAGTAACTGTTACCTTCTGTAAATCCCTCCTTTATCAGGAGAACCTGGAATTTTTCCAAAAGTTTTTTTTTTATATCTATGTTACACTATAGTACACTATTTAACAAGTCTGTTTTGTTCCACCTCAATGCCACTATTAATTTTGGCCAATTAGTTAAGGAATTAAATTTAGTTTATAGTAAGTTTATTGTAGTAAGAAAAACAAGACGGGTTCAAACAGAAAGATTTTGAAAACAGAGAAAACTCTGCGCATTACAATCAGCATCACTTCAGATGACAATACGAATACTAAAAATCCAGGCTAAAAATAAGGCATAGGTACTTTAATTCAGTCGTGGACCCGTCGCGGGTGTCACGTTCTAGTAACCATAATTATTATATCTATACTATTAAACGAGAAGACCTCATTTTGTGTGTCGCTTCTCTTCCTTCCACAATAAATTAATCATCATGCCTCTGTGTCCTATAGGTACCATACATAGTCGCATTTGTCATCCTCGCTTATGATTATTCAGTTTGGGTTATCAAATTATTTTGGGAGGAAAACGAAAATAAAGGCGTCCGGATATTGTTTCCGTCATCGGACGGACTTTTAAGTCATAGAAAAGACTTCCGTTTAGGACTGTTTTAAAATTACACATAATTTTCATAAGTACTTGGGGACAGGACAATTATTTTCGCGTTTTTCTGTATACTGTAAATAAAGTGTATTTGATATTTACTATCAATTCCAAGTTTACTTTCCACTGCGGTCACTGATATATTATATAGAGATAAAACTGAGAATGGAAATGGGGAATGTGTCAAAGAGACAACAACCCGACCATAGAGCAGACAACAGCCGAAGGCCACCAATGGGTCTTCAATGCAGCGAGAAACTCCTGCACCCGGAGGCGTCTTTCATCTGGCCCCTAAACAAATATGTATACTAGTTCAGTGATAATGGACTGTCATACTAAACTCCAAATTATACACAAGAAACTAAAATTTAAAATGATACAAGACTAACAAAGGCCAGAGGCTACTGACTTGGGACAGGTGCAAATATGCGGCGGGGTTAAACATGTTTTTGAGATTTCAACCCTCCCCCTATACCTAGAGTCTCTATATATAATATATCGGTGACCGCCGTGGATAGTCTCTTAGTCTATATAATATATCAGTTACCGCCGTGGATAGTAAATAGCAAATACACTTTATTTAAAATATATGTATGGATACAGAAAAAACAGAAAACAAAAAATAACGGATTTTGGAAAAAAGGGGGAGGGCAAAAAAAAAATTGTCCTGTCCCCAAGTACCGATGACTTTTGATACCTTTCCTGAAATTCTCCAGTCATAAATCTTTTACAAAAATTCATCCTACGACAGTTTACATACTTTCAATTACGCTCTAATGCCCGTGGTGTTTTCTAGTTATATTTTTTAATGCTGAATTAATCATCGTCCAATCTATGTACATATAACATAAATCTAATATCTTTGAAGAGAAATGCAAAGTGGTAAGTAATTTATTCACAATGATGTTAAAGTGTAAGCCAGTCAATATATTATCATTTTATATACCCTTCTTAGATGGGACGTATTTAATATTTTATACCGGAGTCCGTCCATTCGTACGTATGTCAACACTTCGTACACTCACTCAAATTTGCTTTAATCAATTCTCATGAAATTTTAACACAACATTTAGGATTGACGTACGAAAGCTCTCTTTCGATTTTAAAAACATATTTTGGTTTTTCGTTCGAGCTAGAGTAACGAGATTTTAACCGTTGATGACAGTTTTTTTTCACATGTCGCTCAATAACTCGAGTTTGGCTAGATCAATTGACTTATTACTTTATGCTGCTGTTTGTATGGGGTTGTTAAAAGAAATATCCACTTCGATTTTGAATAAGATTTTAGTTTGTCGTTCAAAAGTTTCAGGACTTTAACCATCAGATTTAAGGCAATTTTCATATATTGCACACTTACTAGAGTTCTATAAAATTGATTTACTTAAAAACTCTTACCACTCTTATTCAATTGTGACGTTATAATTTACTCTTTTCCCGGAAAATTACGTAATATCAAAATCTGCTATAGATTTATGATTTGTTTGGCGTTTGTGACGTCATATTTACCACAGATTAGACATTTGCTATAAATCTTGAACCAACCACTAATTTGAGTCCTACATATATATTTCAATATGCAATAGAAAGGCGTATTATGGGCTCCTGGTGTAGCTGTTAATAGTGATCAAATACAGCTTTCTCTTTTGACATGCCTTTGAACTTATTTTTTAAGTAGATAAGTAGTATAAATTAACGAGAGAGAAAAAATTAAAACTCAAACGATTTCAAGACATGCTAAACAAAAATGACTTACATAGCACCATGCGTTCAATATATTACTTCCTTGATTCGACTTGAGTCGAGAAAGTTTAAAGAATAGGGAAACTTGTTTTGCAAAGCCTTACTTTCAATTTGGAGCTATGTTGTTAAAGGTCACCTAAGTCTGATTTCTGGACACTCATTTGGTTCCAGTTGATATTGGAACTTCACAAGAATGAATGAATTTATACTTTCAAATCGGTGCAAATACATAATTCTTACAAAAGCGTTCTTTCTTTTCTTTTCTTTTTTTCTTTTGATCGGATGGTCGCATAAGAATAAGACATTTTGTATTAGCCCTGAATAAAAATATCGAATATGTCTTTAATAAACGTCACTGTCTAATTTGGCGCTAGAGATGACAAAAGCGAATTTTTTTTATGGGCATGATGTGATGTTATATTCATCGCTAACTTTTCTTGCATATTTAAAATAAATGTCACAGCCTAAGCCCAAAACCGTACTCAACAGTCTTTTCACAAAAGTGTTTCATATAAGAAAATTTAATGCAATATATCTCTGTTATTTACATACCAATAATGGTTTATACATAATAATGTGAAGAAGGAAACAATGAAAGAAAAATATCCAAATAATGAAAACTACATTTGTGGGGAACGAAAATCAAAGGTCATAATCAGGGTTTTGATTCCAGTTGATCTTGGAATTAATGTCCATGTTTTATGTTCATGCTATAATTTCTATTAACATGCATGTACATAAATTATTGACGTCTTCATTTGACCAAAAACTCCTCAAACAAATTCTAAGAGAAAACCAGCATAGGACCATTTTATAATAATATTTTATTAGACGTAATATTTTGCTAATGATATTTATAATTTACAAAAGATACCAAATGGATAATCAAACTCAAAGTGGAAAACGAACTAACAATGCCATGGCAAAACACGAAAATCGAACAAGAGATAAACAACAGTATACAAAACACAACATAGATTACTAATGACTGGGCAACAAGAACCCCACCAATACCGGGGGTGTTTTCAGGTGCTCCGGAAAAGTAAGAAGATCAAGCTCCACATGTGGCATCAGTCGTTTTGCCTATATGTAAGTAAAAATCCGGTGACAAATATTTATTCATGTTTCTATGTTTATTAAGTCACGTTTGGTTTTGATTTTGTCAGTTTTTATGGACTTCACATTTTTGAATATGCCTTGGAGTTCGGTATTTTTGTTATACTTTTTTGCTATGTTGGCTGCGGTATGGTTAATTGGACACACGTTAAAGTTGTTCTGTTTTAAGTGGACTAAAGCTTTAAGTGATTTTTTTAAATATACTATTATAGAGAACAACTTGCGATGTCAATAGTTTCTTGTTCAGGTTGGCTAAAACTTACAGCGGAAAAAATGATTATGATTGCTCACAAGGTTCTGGGACAAGGCTACTATCAGTATATCATGAAATTAAGACATCGTGCTTCTTTCATCCAAGTATTATTAAACGCAAAAAAATACTCATCATAGATAACGCCTTATAATTTTGTAAGCCAGACGCACTCATCAGTGACGTTCGAATCAAAAAGTTAAAAGGCTAAATAAAGTACGAAACTGAAGAACATTGAGGATTAAAAATTTCGAAAGGGTTTGCCAAATGCAGCTAAGGTAATCTATTCCTGGGGAAGAAAATCCTGCTTTGACGTTACTATTTGCATCAAAGGAATTGTCCATTAGATTGACAGAAATTCTGTACTCCTTTCCGAAAAGATAGAGAAAATTCTGGATAAGGGAACT